TGGCTCCCAGAATGGTAACCAGGCTCTGGTAGTACTTCTTAACATAGTGGTTAAATTTCACAAAACTAAGCAGAAGGTTTAGTTAAAATGGACTGGAGCTTTGTACGACCTTTTTTTTTTCTTTGACTTTCTTTGTAAGAGTAGATGCTGTTGACTCAGTGGCCTTTGCTTGTATTGGCCACCTGATGTGCACGCCTGTTTGGATGCAGGCTGCACTGAACGACAATTTCCTCCACTAATAGGGGGAGAAGACACTGGAAGTGTAAGAAGAGAACCAAGTAGGTTGGAAGCTAGACAAGAGACTGGCTAGAAAGAGGGAAAGACCCTGACTACATGATGAACAATAAATAAACACTGAAGAAGGAAATTATTGATTCCTGCCCCAAGGCCACCGAAATGGAGCCTAGAACCAAGGACACCTCTGAAGCTAACTGAACCCCTTTACAACCATCATCAAAAGCCCCCTGATCATCACTAACAAGACTCCTGACTCCAAATTAGGCAAAGATGTCCACTCTAGTAAATTCCCTATAGTGCTTCCACCACTCACCTAGCGCCAGCCTTCCAGCAGTAATTTTCTTTGTCTTGAGGCTATAAAAATTGGCTACTAATCCATGAACACTCGGCTTTCCCTAGTCTGTCAGGAGGTCAGTCTACTGCATTCACAGTATCCACATTATTTCTGCTCTTTGTTCTTAATAAACTTACTTCCTTCTGAAATGCCCTGTGTATGGAAATTCTTATCCAACCTGTGTTCAGACTGCCTCAACCAAAATATCTTTTTTTTTTTTTTTGCTTTTTTAGTTTGAGTTTGTACATTTGTTAATGCTTTTACAAGAATACATTCCTCTGTAGAAACTAAAAAAAATGCTGAGCTTCTAGTCTGGGTCAAAGCAGTTGACCCATAAAGATCATACATATGGATGAACACCCAGGATGGAGAGAAAACTCCCCAGGCCATGGCATTGTGCATATGGGTGCATGGAGCAGAAAGAGGATTTGATCAATTCCCTCTTCCTAGATTTCTAGGAGGCCTCAGCTGCAATCTGAGTTCCAGATAGATACCATAATTGCAATGATTAATATGCACAAATAGTGGAATATCTTATAGTGCTGATGTTATCTATCTGTACATCCTTAGGGTATTTGTGACTGTGTACTGTGCCTCCCAGACACTTTGGTGGCATCAATGTTTTCTGGGGAGCCTTTCCTAAGCCTTTACATCCTTTGAGGCCTTCCATGATGTTTCCATTGCCTGAAATGCCACTTTCCCTTTTCCCACCCTAACCTCTCACCACTCTCTATTGCAATGCTACCTATTCTTGACTCACCAACCTGGACTATAATGATTTGCTTGCTTGTTTGACCCCCCTAGTTTGTAATCCTCTGGAATGCAGGAACTCTGCCTAGTGAAGTGGCTGATATATAATAAACCTTTAATAATTTATTGGTTGAGTGACCAAATGTGAGTAAATGAATAAAAAGTGAATGATAGCAAAATTGATCTCACCTCTTCTATGAATTTTCCTATTCTTTATCTATACCAATATCCAGTTTACACAAGGAACATTATTTCTAAAGTATGCTAATAATGTTTTATTTCTATTAACTACATTTATTGGGTCCTTATTAGTGTAAGACACTATGCGATCTTATTTAATCCTTACAACAACCCCACAATGTGGGTACTACTATTGTCATTGTTGTTGTTTAGTCACTAAGCCATGTCCAACTCCTTGTGACCCTGTGGACTGTAGCCCACCAGGCTCCTCTGCCCATGGGATTTTCCAGCCAAGAATACTGGAGTGGGTTGCCATTTCATTCTCCAGGGGATCTTCCTGGCCCAGGGACTGAACTCACATCTTCTGCTTTGCAGGTGGACTTTAGTAACTTTAATTATAGAGTTAGGATTCCAAAGAAAAAAGGGTTTTGTTGTGTTGTTTAGTTGCTAAGTAGTGTCCAACTCTTTTGTGATCCCATGGGCTGTACCCCACTAGGCTCCTCTATCCATGGGATTTCCCAGGACATTGGAGTGGGTTGCCATTTCCTTCTCCAATTATTGTCTTCACTGGTAAGGAAATAGAGTGTTAGGGAAAGTAGGGGACTGAGCCTTGGTCACGCAACTGATAAGTGATGGAACAAGGATTTGTGCCCCGACTGTTGGGATCCAGAGCCCTCTTTTGCACTCACTTCACAAGTTCTACTGGCCCTTCAGGGCCAACCATGGGCTTGGCTTCCTCAGGAAACTTTCCTGCCCTTGTGTCTTCATTGTCTGTTTTCTCATCTCTCCCTGTCAGACGGTAGGCCCTGTGAGGCAGGAATCAAATCTCTTTCCTTCCCATTTTTTTGTGACCACCCTCTTGTGAAGTTACTAGAAAAGGGACTCCTACTCATACCAGGCAGATGAGGAAAGAGCGGGCTTGGGGATCTGTCTAATATTACACAGCCACTTGCTGTCAGAGCCAGGGGCAGGACCTAGGTTTTCAAATCCCATCCCAGGCCTCTTCTCTGGAAGAAAATGCCTTAGGAATTTGTAAACAATCTGGGACAGATTGTTCCGCATTGACAGAATTTCTGGGGTTGCAAGAAATCACAATATCACCTGGATAAATTCCTCACAGAGTAGGGACGTGGTTTGTCCAAGGTTGCATGCAGGTTACTAGAAAGACTGGAGTAATGACAGCACAGAGCGAGGACTCACAGTCAGCAGATCCTGGATGAAGCCTCAGTCTGGCACTTAGTTCCTTCTGACTGAGGCTGACCAAAAAAAAAAAGTATAAATTCAGATTTGAACCAAGTTGGTGATGACTTTCCTGTTATTGTCCTTGGCCTATATGCAAAAAATAGCTTTTCTCTTAGTTCCTCTCTCCATTTATTCTATTTGGCACAGACACATATTGGATTGCTGTATTATTTTTCCCTTGACTCGTGCTGTCTGGCAGTCTCCGGGACTGCTCCTCCCAGCTTTACCTCTCCAGCCCGAGCCTCCAGCTCCTTGGTGCCCTCCTCCCCCACCTCCTCCCCAGCCTTTGGTTTCCACCGTGGCTGCTAAGTCAGCCAGTCTGCATTGCTAGTCTCTCTTCCAGCTGTGCTCCACACATCCGGCCAAGTCCATTTCCTGGCTGCCATCCTGACCCAAAGCTGCAATTGCTAAAATATTAATGGTGCCCTTTGTGAGAAAAAACACAGGGAAGCCTGATGTAAATTGCCAGAGACGTGGAAACAGTGAAATGGAAGAAATAAAGCAGAAACATAACGTGAAAAAGGGTCTCAGCGTTAAGTCAAAGGCGGACATCCCTAGCTCTGCCTTTCTCTTCTTAATACTGAGGTCTCACTGGGAAATGCCAGCTTCACTGGCTGAGGTTCACTGCCTTGGCCACCTAGATGGGTTGCCTAACAAGGTAGATGATCCCTGTGGATTTGCCTGCCTGCCTGGGTCTCCTGAGACAGAAGAGAAGGGAAGCACAGCACAGATCTGAAAAGAAAAGGCAAACTGTGTGGATAAAGAAAGTAGAGGCTCCCTGTGGTCAAAAGTCATGTGACACATTGGCATGAGGAGGTCTGTAGGATGCTGAGGACAAATCAGGCTAGATTCAAAGGCAAAGAAATGTGATTCACCCTTTATCCAACCCTTAATGAAAGCATTTAGCACTTTATGTTTTATTTATTGGATTTCTCATACTCTGTCATTATCATTATTGGATTCCTGGTGCCCTGCATGGTGCTTGGCACAAATCACAATGAGAAGCTGTATTTTCCGAATAATCAGAAAGGGGAGGAGTAGAGAGCAAAATGGAGAAGGAAATGGCAACCCATTCCAGTATTCTTGCCTGGAGAATCCCATGGACAGAGGAGGGCTACAATCCACAGGATTGCAATGAGTCAAACATGATTGACGTGGCTTAGCACAGAGAGCGAAAAATGACCCTTAACATTTGCAACATGGTAAACATTAATATTTTTATTCTTTTTATGATGAAGAGGGCACAAAGGGCTGGGGATGGGGACATCACAGGAGGAGGAAAGACAGTGCCACCTCTGCAAAAGACACCCCTAAACTACACGTAGAAGAGAAGTAGATCCCCCCAGGGCAGACTTTCCCATCCAGAAAACAGAAACCAATTGACGTGAGTTTGCCAGTAGCTCACACAGCTACAGGGCATACGCCAGTTTTTCCAGGTGCCGGCAAGTCAAACTCCTTTTTCAGTTTCTCTCCAGGTTCCTAACTTGAGTCTCATTCTCTGACCTCTCTCATCCTCCTTGTTTTTGTCTTACTTGAGACTGATTCTTACAGGTTTCTCTGGTTCCTGTGCTCATTTTCATTACTAGGCATGCTAACAATCTTCTTCCAGTTTAGGAAATTCTTCCAATACTCAGTCTTTCAGGCCCAAACAATTTCACCTCCCCATTTCACCTCCAAGTCTCCTCCCTCCTGGAGCACAGAGCTCTGCACTTGAACTTCTAGGCAAGCATGGCTTAAGTGGAGCGGGAGGGTGGAAGCGGGTCGCCCTAAGGCAGTTCTGTTCTCTGTGAAGATCCTAGGTTTCCTTCAAACAGACAGAGCTCCAGAGAGCATTCCTGGCCCCCTTCTTCAATTTCTGCCCCTTCATTCCACCACTGAACCTCCTCACAGGTGCTGCTCAGCACCAGGCAGCTCCCTGGGTAGTAAAAGCAACAGCAAGGCTGAGACAAGTGCTCAAGAAACTAGCTTGTTTTCAGGCTGTGCGTGTGCACACAGAATATGTGGTGTGCAACAGAGCCATTGTCACTCGTACAAAAGGGTTTCTATGGAACATGCTGAAAGTGAGAAAATATGGATTGTATTATAAGTGTGATACTAGTCAGAAGGCCCAGAAAACTGGCATTACAGCTACCAACCAGCTTGAGCAGAAGAAAGAGAGCAAGAGAAACCACTTAGGAGTCCCTGCCGATGTGAACATCTGCGGGGTCCTCAGGTCTCCCGGACCTCTTCCCTTCACCCAGGTTGGTAGGTTGCAGATCTAAACATTTGCAAATTCACAGTCATAGTCAGTCATCCGGCACATTATGAATTTCCACTGGCGATCCCTGTAGGGAGAGAGTCAGAGAGCTGATGTCAGTGAGAAAAGACACCTTAGGAAGAATAAAGCAATGAGCAACCTTTGGAGAATTTAGGAACTTAAGGGACACCTAATCTCACTTTTCTCTTAGGAAACATCTCTATGAAGTCTCTAGAAAACCTATTGGTAATTGTCTATGAGGTCAGGACTCCTGGACACCTCCTCACTCAGTTCAAGATGATCTTGGAGGGGACTAACTACGTTGCCAGTGTGTTTAGGTCTTGTTTATCACCAGGGATCGGCTCATCACTGCTCAGTCTCAAAAGCACCTTCTTGTACATACAGGTTAAGAGCTAGGGATAAAAGCATTTATTTAACATTTTTTTCATTTCATTGTAAAGAATCATCTCTTACACAGGCCATCCATCTGCTCATTCTTTTTCTGAAAACGTAAAATGTGCTGGGCTCTGTGCTGTACCCTCTTCAGAAAACACGACTACAGGGAAATGGATGAAGAGAAAACAACTCTAAAAGCCTTAATGTGAAAAGGAAAGTGCCTGTTATTTTTGCATAACAGAAATTGCATATTTGTTTAGATGGTCCGGCATAGGTATGAGAAAACAGAATTGTTCAGTTTTGAAAAATATAGTGTGGGTGCATTTCAAGGAACATTCTTTGCTAAGGACTAGCCCAAGTTCTTTGTTCACCTATTTAAGAAAAATATATTGAAAGCCTACTCTGCATAGCACTCTTCTGGTTTGATATTGTTTAACAATGATAGCAGCAATAGTACTGATAACTGTAACTACTATTTGATGAGTCCTCCAATATGTCTAGCATTGCACTAGATGCTTTACATATTTTCTCATTTAATCCTCACAATATGTCATTGTTTAGGTGGAGAAGTGGACTCAGAGCAACATGAATTTTATTAACATAATTAGGTGACAATTTCAAGTTCCAAGTTTGTTGAACTCAAATCTTGCTCTTTATCTGATACCACAGTGACTCTGTAACTTAACACCTATAACCCCATTGAGAACACGGCTGTCACATCTTTTGCAAAGTCTTGATGAAGGGCAAAAAAGTCATTCCATATATAGCCACGCAAATGCTTCCCAAGCACAGTGGGGTCATTTAACCTTAGAATATTCTTCTTCCTCTTCAGTCTGAAAGACCTCTTCCCAGATCAATTTTTCTTAGACACCAACACTGATAAGATCTTCATCAAGCTGCAAATCTGGAAGGTGGGACTAACCACTCTCAAGTTCTGGGAGGTAACTCTTGCCAACAGCTATGGAACAGGCTGCTCACACAGTAAGGCAAGCTTTGTAATTTGAGTCTGCTGCTCCAGGTTGTTTAGAGTAAAGGGCATAGGATCTCCAAGTATAAAAAGTTTTCAAGAGCCTGGGTAACCAACTATTTATTAGTATTTATTCCTGCAGTTGTTAACAGAGGACATGGCCTGTTTTAGATGGAGGTTAGGAAATCAGTGGCATGCGAGTTTATGAAATAAATTTCATTACTGTAGACAAGTCTGATTTATCTCTATGACAACAGACATAAGTACATAAGATCTTGAGCCAGGCATTCACACTACTCTTTCAAAGGGCTTTAATTGATGCTAAGCAAAATTTAGACTTGGTTGTAAAAGAACCAAGTTATTCGAATCAGCCTTAGTCACTGATTTCCCTCCTAGATGGTGGTTCTCAAGAAGCGGCAGTTTTGCTTCTCAGGGTTTTTTATTGTTGTTGTTGTCACAACTCTGGGGGAGGGGAGGTTGCTATTGCCATCTAACGTGGAGGGGTCCGGATGCTGCTGAACATCTGGAATGCACAGGAAATGCTTCTGCAACAAAGAGCTATCTGGCTCTAGAGGTCATGTGTGCCCCGGCTGGACAACTCCATTCCAGGAGAAAACCACTATGATCTGCCTGTGGAGGAAAAGCTCCTGCCCAGTGACTGCATGGGTATATTAATTGTAAACAAATGCATGATATAATAGCCAGTTTTCCAAGATTTTAGGTTAAACTACGTAACTGAAAATGTCCAAGTCAATAGCCACTGGACACTTTAACTGTCAAAATATATTTATTTTGAGGAAATTTTGGACGGTGTACTCTCTTGACTATATTCCTTTCTGCCTTCTTAAACAGAAAATGTCAAACTAATTTTCTCAGTGACTTGGAAACATCACCAGGAACACTGAGCACCCTGCTACACTGTTGTCTAGTGTTACCTTTCAGGGCTACTCACAGCTGATAAATGTCCACAGCCTTTGAGTTCTTAGGTCTTTCCTTTTCTTCTTCTTAAATTTAGTTTTGTGTGTGTCACATCATTCGGCTGTTTTATTCTAACAGGTGAGAAGTAACATCTTCCCTATTCATTTTTAAGATTATTTTTAATCAGAGGATAATTGCTTTGCATAAGTTTGTTGTTTTCTGTCGAACATCAGCATGAATCAGCCATAGGTGTACATATGTCCCCTCCCTCTTGAACCTCCCTCCCATCTCCCTCCCCATCCCACCCCTCTAGGTTGTTACAGAGCCCCTGTTTGAGTTTCCTGAGTCATCCAGCAAAGTCCCATTGGCTATCTATTTTACATATGGTGATGTAAGTTTCCATGTTACTCACTCCACACATCTCACCCTCTCCCTCCTTTTCCTGCCCTCGTGTCCATAAGTCTATTCTCTATGTCTGTTTCTCCACTGCTACCCTGCAAATAAATTCATTAGTACCATTTTTCTAGATTCCATATGCATGCATTAGTATACGATATTTATCTTTCTCTTTCTTACTTTACTGTCTATAATAGGCTCTAGGTTCATCCACCTCATTAGAACTGACTCAAATGTGTTCCTTTTTATGGCTGAGCTATTCCTTTGTATGTATATACCACAGCTTCTTTATTCATTCATCTGTTGATGGACATCTAGGTTGCTTCCATGTTCTAGCTATTGTAAATAGTGCTGCTATGAACAGTGGAATACATGTGTCTTTTTCAATTTTGGTTTCCTCAGGGTATATGCCTAGGCATGGGATTGCTGTGTCATATGATGATTTTATTCCTAGCTTTTTAAAGAATCTCCAGACCATCTTCCATAGTGGCTGTATCAATTTACATTCCCACCAACAGTGTAAGAAGGTTCCCTTTTCTCCACATCCTCTCCAGAATTTATTGTTTGTAGGCTTTTTGATGATGGTAATTCTGACTGGTATGAGTTATAGCTCACTGTAGTTTATTTTTTAATTTGCCCCTTCTAGAAAATAATAACTAAGCTAGATAAAAAGGTATGCAAAATGCAAACAATTAATGTGTGAGAATTGAGGGGGCTTCCTATGAATAAATGTAAGTGTTTTTGTTCATGGAGCCTGAAACCTGTATTGCATCTTTTCAGATGTCTTTCATGTTAGTTTTTTTTGTTTAATTTTTGTTTTTTTTTTTCAATTAAAGGTCATATTAAATAAGTTAACTCCAATTAGGTATGATATCATTGCACTTAAAAACATAAATATATACAAAAATGTCACACCCAAATTTGTCATTCTATTATTTAATGAATTAGTGAGTTAACTTTTGTTCTATTTGCTAAACAGTTATTGGTAACTTTTCAGGAATTTATTTGCTGTGTAAAGTGATGATCACCTAACTATAAGTAGGTCAAATCAACCTTTTAACACCTGAATTTATTCATATTTCTTTCTTTATTAGCAGGGAGAAGAATTTTTATTTTCCTCTTATTATTTTGCTTTGATGTATTTGTGATAAAATTGGGAACTGATTGTGAGAGAAAGGGGATTGAAAAAAATTAGTACTGTTTTTCTCTTAAGTTCTCCTTTTTTGTTTCTAAATATAGTTGGTAAGTTTTGTGTGTTTCTCCTCTCCAGTCCCCTCTCCTTCTCTTTTCTCTCCCTTCCCACAACTCAAAGTGAGGACCATATAAAGAAGTGGTATTGGAGAGGGTTCATTTTGACAGTGGGCACTCTCTGAATCATTTTGGCCCTCTCTAACATGTTTGGTAGGAAAAAAATGCTTTTTGAAACTGAGTAAAGGGAAGAGCATAAACCATCATGGAATACCATCTTGAGCACTTCCTGCTCTGAGCAATCTGAAACCCATTCTCATCTCCAAGGGTGAGCTGCTCCATGAAGTAGGTTCAATTCCCATTGTTTTCCATTGTCCTGTCAATCTTTTAGTGAACCTAAACCAAGTAGAAAACTAAAATAGGGAAAACCCCAGATCAAAGATCCTGCAGATATGACCCTTGCAGGGAGCTGATCCCTGACCACTCTAACCTTGCCCATGGGGGAGGCTCACCTTTCCACTGCAGAGAAAGTGGTTGTTGCCCCTCGCATATAATAATCATAATTGTAGGAAATCATGTCCATCTCCTCACCATAGTGGCCTGGATATTCTGTTGTCAGCCTATGTGGGAAGAACAAAAAGTTAGAGGGAAAAGATAAAACACTACTGCTAGGGGCAAACAGGAGACATGCTACAGAAGAGAGATACAGTTTCAACATTATGGGAGACCCATACCAGAGCTGGATGACCTCTGCTAAACCATTCCAGGCTGCAAAAAGATGGACAGTTTTCTCTCATGTCTCATGTTCCTTCTTGCCACTAAACTAGACACTAAAAAAGATATAGAGAGCTCCTCAGGCCTTGAGGAAACACTGACTAATATCAGCATTAGTTCATTCCAATCAAGTCAACCAGAACCATGCTTTCAAAATGTGAGTTGTGACTTACTAGTAGATCATGAAATCTATTTAATTGGTTAGGACCAGCTGAGCTTTAAAAAAGAAGAAGAGATTGAATAGAAAATATCAGAGACTGCATTATACACACTAAAGATAAGTTCTTGTGTACATACAGAAGATCAGTTATTGAGTATATAGATAAAAACTTTGTTTCAAATATATATGTGTGCATGTATTTACATGATATCTGTATTGTCTAATAATTTGATATGCATTTTTTACTGTATTTGAAAAACATTAAAATATAAGCTGTATAAAAGTAGTTTTTACCTAGTCTGCCATTGTTTCTTTGGCATCTAAAACAGCTCCTGGTACATAGTAAGTATTTGTTGAATAAATAAATAGACTTGAGAAAGTCATTTAATCTCAGTTTCCTGGTCTATAGAAGAATGAAGGTTACCTTATAGCTTTGTCATTTGGGCTAAAACAAGTAAGTATGACACGTGGTAGGAGTTGAATTGTTAGGAGAAATTTTGTGTCTTCTTCCTCCTTCACATTTCCTTCTTTCGCCTCCAAGATTAAGTCAAGCCCTGGCCTCTCCCTGGGTAGGCTCATTGTGGTCCACCCTGGAATAAACCTAGAATTCCCTGGCTCTTATAACGCTTCACCATTGGGGATCTTCAGGATCAAAATAGTCCTTTTGGTATGATATGGGTTCCCCAAAGTCTTTATCTGCACCCCCAACCTGCTTGGGAAACAAATAATGTCAATAATTTAATTTGATTTGGGGTCACAGGTCATTGTATGTTGATGATAAAAAGATCTCCCTCTATGTAGACTTAATACTGCAAGGATTGTCATGAAATCTTAAAAAGCCTAATTTATAAACTGGAAGGTCTCTTAGAAGGTTCTCAAGCTTCGATGCAACAAGTTAGCACAAGATAACTTGAGTTAACCAAAACTTAAAACTTCACTCTCTATGTTCATAACCATTTGTTTTCCCACATTACGCACTTGTTCTTGTTCTTTGATTCTCTTCTCAAGACATAATTATGCTCTATCAGAATACCAAGCCCTATCTAGAGGGAGTTACATGTGTTTCTGCTTAATATTTATGGAAGGAAACAGGCTAACTCTGAACCCTATTTTGTGCTTTCAAGGAGACTCAGAACAAGGGCTTTCTCTTCCTAATGAAAACATTAAATGACTCATAAATGGCCCTAATATGTTCTCATTTGGATTCTGTTGGTTTGTGATCCCTGGGGATTCAAACAAGTGGTAGATTCAAGTTTACCCAAAGAAGGAGGGATTTGTTGATAATGCAAATTAGAATTAAAAGAGATGGAGTAGGAGGCATTTTTTCTTACATCAGGGAGCACAAAATATTTTCCAGAATTTTTAGAGCACTCTTTAGATACTATATATAAAAGTTAATTGCCAAACATTTTAAGATGTGCTGAGGCAGAAATCTACCTAAGGCAATAGTGTATGGTACTCACTCAGTCGTGTCTGACTCTCTGTGACCCCAGGGACTAGCCCACCAGGCTCCTCTGTCCATGGAGTTCTCCAGGCAAGGATATTGGAGCGGGTTGCCATTCCCATCTCCAGGGGGTCTTTCTGACCCAGGGATTGTGTCTTTATAGGCAGATTCTTTACCATCTGAGCCACCAGGAGAGCCCCAAGGCAACACTGCATTAAGCTAAATCCAGTTCCCAAAACTATTGGAAATCATTATGCTAGACCATTATTTTTTTAAGTTTTTACTGATCTGCTTTCAGATTATTTGGATAGTTAAATATATTTGGAATGAAATGGGGAAAAGAGGCTTGCATTTTTAAAAAATAACATTTTAAGCTTCAAAGGGGGACAAAAGTTATCCATTGCTTTTTTCAACTAGCAGTTCCTATGGCTTCATTTTTGGTAGTGACCAGACCAAAAGTCTCCTGTTCAGCTGATAGTTTGTCTGTGGGGTTTCTCTGTGGAGGACTGCTGTTTAGTAAATTTCCAGAATACCCTCAAGAAGGTGTCATACATGCTTATTTGTGTATTTCCATCTTGGTCCCAGCCAGTTTTTTGTTTTTACTTGATATTGGGGATTTTCTTATTGTTTTGTCTTTGTTATAAAATCATGCGGTCAAGTGTAGATTATTTTACAGAATCTTTGATTAAGAGGGTAAGGCAAGAGTTTGGGTATTGGTAAAAATTACTTCTACTTTATGAAAGTAAAAATACAGAAGAAAGAACCCCAATCAATAAACCTTCCAAACACCATTCACAGAGGGAACTGCTGTTTCAATACAGTCCAGGATTCTGAATTTTAGAACAAGATAAATATGCCTCCATTTAGTTTCTGAGGATGTCATGCACACACAAAATATTCCAATAAGCGAAAGCCCTAGTAATAACTCCTCAGAAGGAAAAAATAGAATTTAAATATTCAGAACAAGACACTGGGGCAAGGGCATAGGGACTTGTCAGGAAATTAAAAGAAACTACAAGGAAGCACAAGATCAGGGTTTCATAAACTATGGTGATGGGCTTCCTGAGGGCAGAAGGGGAGGAGTTCAGTGTGGTTCCAGATTCCTTGTGAATTACCAGGTCACTGCAGGCAGTTTTATGGCATAGTACACTTCATACTGAGCACTGCCATACATTTCCAGACCAATTAAAACAATCAAACAGCCCTTCCCTTGCAAGAAAAGAAAGTTCTGTCAGTAACATTGCTGTTGTTCAGTTGCTAAGTTGTGTCTCACATTTTGTGACCCGATGGACTCCAGCATGCCCGGCTTCCCTATCCTCCACTCTCTCTTCAAGTAACTCATGTCCATTGAGTCAGTGATGCTATCTAACCATCTCATCCTCTGCTGCCTCCTTTTGCCTTCAATCTTTCCCAGCATCAGGGGCTTTTCCAATTACTTAGCCTTTCACATTAGGTGGCCAAAGGATTGGGGCTTCGTCTTCAGCATCAGTCCTTCCAATGACTATTCAGGGTTGGTTTCCTTTCAGATTGATTGGTTGATCTCCTTGCAGTCCAAGGGACTCTCAAGAGTCTTACCCAGGACCACAATTCAAAAGTATCAATTGTTCAGTGCTCAGTTTTCTTTATGGACCAACTCTGACAATCCATATATGACTACTGGAGAAACCATAGCTTTGATTATATGGACATTTTTATGCAGTTTACTGAAAGGAGTCTACTACTGAAGCTCTTCTATCAGGATCCTTATATATCCCTTTACAAAGAGCTAATTGTCCCTCTGTGTGTGTGTTTCCCCTATCACTTTTGGATGAGTAGGGCTACTGGAGCATAATTTCTCACTTTAAACTACTTTTAATGTCATCTGTAGGCAAGAGTATGGCATCACTGACTCAATGGACATGAGTTTGAGCAAGCTCTGGGAGTTGGTGATGGACAAGGAAGCCTGGCATGCTGCAGTCCACGGGGTTGCCAAGAGTTGGACACAACTGAGTGACTGAACTGAACTGTAGGCAAGGGGACAGGACCAGAAGGTTGTTTCAAAACTAAGTGAGAACTTGATAACATAGAACCACTTGTACGATTTCTTGTATTAGATAAGTCTGAAGGAGATGGAAAGAAATTAAATAATGTCTTGGTTATGAATTGAAGAAGGCCCATGCAAATGGAGAGGGTTTTTAAAACAGATACAGGATTTTCTCACCTAAGATTATTAAAGCTCTGAAATTATCAATGGATTCAGCTAGAATCAATAAATTATTGCTATCTAGTACGTTACCACAAACTGAGCCCCAGTTGACAGATGGCTTTCTCCTTTTCTGTGAGAACAGGACATGTCACAGAGCTCACTCACATATATGTCATCACATTCATTTTATTAAGGAGAGTAGGGATAGAATTTAAAGAGGACAGTTTACATATTGTTGGAGGTTTGCTTGATAACTTATGCAATTTTTAGCAGTTAAAGGAAAGGGTTTTGACTCTTTCTCTACAGAAAGTGACTCATATAGATTTTATCAAACTTCACCTTTATTATTGATTTGTTTTGTTTAGTTGCTAAGTCATGTCTGACTCTTTTGCAACCCCATAGACTGTAGCCCACCAGGTTCTGTCCGTGGGATTTCCCAGACAAGAATACTGGAATGAGTTGTCATTTCCTTCTCCAGAGTATATTCCCAACCCAGGGATTGCACCCTCATGTCCTGTATTGCAGGCAGATTCTTACCACTGAGCCATTCAGGAAGCCATTTATTATTGATTACTGAGGCTTGAACACAAGGTCAGACCTTGTAGCACCAGCATCTATTTGTTACATGTTTGACCTGTCAGCAAGTAGGACAACTGGATTCTTTGGGGCTTGAGCCTCCACTATTAGGCGGTGTATTTCACTGGTGTGCACAAGAACAAATGGGGCCATGCCCTATGGCCCAGCGTCAGTTAGTATCACATCCTCAACCCCCACTTTGTGGGATGCCAGAGAAGCACACACTGCAGATGTCCTACCCTAAAAACTGGAAGAAAACCCAGCATCTACAAGTCAACAAACCAGAAGGGGGTACCTGAGGAAGCCATACCTCAGCTTTTTTCAAAACAAGAGTAAACAGTGTTTCCCATCCCATTCTTTAGTGCTCAGCCCATCCTCCTCAAACAACATTTTAGAGAGGCTTCTGGCCAGTCAAACCTCTAATTCTGTCTTACTTCTATTTTCATGCCTCCCAGAATTCCCTGGTGGCTCAGATGGTAGA